GTCTAAGAAAAAGTGGCCTGCAAAGAGAGTGTGATATCATAAAAACAATAGAATAATTTGGAAAGAAATAAAGGATGAAAAAAGAGCTAAGTGAGATTTCTTTTTAAAGGATTATAAAGAAACTAAAATTGCAATTGCAGAATTAAAACCTGTACGAGAAGCTATAAAGGACAAGCTATATATTTTGAATAAAATTCAACACTGGTAAGAGTGACACCCTTTAGTAGCTCCCACAGTTAAAAAAAGAAAGAAAGAAAAGAAACATAGTAAGAGATGAATACTGAGAGAAGAAAGGTATGGCGTTCATAAAATGGAAATATAACCTAGGAATTGTAGAGGAAGTCAGACTATTGATAAGAAAACTCTCTGAAGCTAAAAGAAACACCAGAGTGTGAAGACTGAAAAGGGCGAACCATGATTTAGGAAATGCTAATACAAAGCATCACGTATCATTCCATCATGATGAGTGTTTGAATAATGAAGATTAAAAAAAAAACAACAGAATAAAACAGACCCGCCAGGCATTCAGAAAGGAAATAAAAAGACAATAGCAAGCTAACTTTGAGAGCAGTGGAACAATCAGGCTGTCTTCAGATTTCTCCACAGCAGACAGAAGGCCAGGGAGAGTTCACAACAATAGAGTATTCACATTAAAAGATTACGATCTGAGAATTTGATTCAATCAAGTTATAATTCATGTATGACAACCCAGAAACACATTCTCTGATATGTGCAAGTTAACAAAATGTGTTATCACACACTGTTTTTAAAGAATTACTTGTAGACATATGCTGTGCTACAATTCTGAGTTTAAGAACGAGGGCTGGTGAAGGGTTTTTGTAAAAAGTATTGTTTCTAAGGTACTTAAAATATATTTACTTAAACTCCCACAAAACCCTGGAAAGCAAGCAGCTGATGAGATTCATGGCCTCTTTATTTAAAGAAACTAGGATTGAGACAGTTAAATGATGTATCTCAAAACTACGAATCGGATCAGGGTTCATATCTGCTAATTCTTCGTGCACAGGGCACGAATTATCAGATCAGCATTGCCTCTTTATGTTTTGATTTAATTTTAGGAAGTTTCTATAATAAAAATAAGAGGGAAAAAAGAGGACATTGGCTTGAAGGGTTGACTATGCTTAAAATAAATTCTTTCTTTCCCAGGAATATGGGAAAGTCCTGTTTCATTAGAAACTTCCTTTAGATTCCACTAACACTGTCAGCTAGAACAGGGAAAGACTTTTTTTTTTCATGTACCCATTAATGCATTTATGGGGTACAATGTGCTGATTTCATATAGAATTAGAAACCTTTACATCACACTGGTTAATATATACCTCTTCTTGTTTACTTAGTTATGGTGTTAAGACATTTATACTCTGTACTAATAGATCCGACATGTCCCCTTGCATTATGCACCAAAGGTGTGATCCCACCATTCACCCTCCCTCCATCTGACCTCCTCCATCCCCCCCGTCCCTCCTTCATTTTGGGCCATAGTTGTGAGTGATTATAAATTGGTTTCATACTGAGTACATTGGATATTTTTTCTTCCGTTCTTGAGATACTTTACTAAGTAGGAAAAGACTTTTAGCAGCAATGGGTTCTTACTCGTATTATGTGTCAGACACTTTTCTAGTCACTGAGGTTCAAGATGCAGAGAACTGAACCAGCAAAATCACGTCTCCTGCCACCAAGAGTCAGAGGACAGGAGATGGACCTGCTAAGACAACAGCAAAGGGCACACACTCCACTGTGCTACTTAACATCCATCTCAATATGAAAGGACAACCTGGGACCACCAGGCACGAGGAAAACCCAAGCCATGAAAGATGAACAAACGGAAAAACTGATGATGCGGAAAACGGAAGCCATTCAGGGCACAGAACAGAAGCGCCTTGAATAAAAAGTGCCCTTAGGAAATTTTAGAAGAAATTAAACCCCTGAACAGACAGAAAGGAAATAGAAAAATTGAATGCTCTTACAAATTAAAAATATAAATTAAGGCAAAAGTAAAAGGAGGGATAGGAGGTAAAGTGAAAGAAGTCTCTTTGAATACTGCAAAGATATGGAAAGTATCACAGAAAAAAGAAGGAGGAAATGTTAAGAGTGTTGATCCAAAAGACCCACCACTGATGAGCAGCTGTGGTCTGCAGCGTGCTGGTGGTGGTTGTTATTGTGTGTGTATTAATAAAAATAACAGCTAACATTTGTTCAGGAGTTTCACTGTGCTAAAACCTGGCTGAGCTCCTAACCCATAATTTCCTATCACGTTTTTTTTTTTTTTTTTTGAAACAGAGTCTCAAACTGTCCCCCTGGGTAGAGCGCTGTGACATCACAGCTCACAGCAACCTCCAACTCCTGGGCTCAAGCGAGTCTCCTGCCTCAGCCTCCCAAGTAGCTGGGACCACAGGCGCCTGCCACAATGCCTGGCTATTTTTTGGTTGCAGCTGTCATTGTTGTGGGCAGGCCCGGACCATATTCAAACCCCCCACCTCAGGTGTACGTGGCTGGCGTCTTAGCCACTTAAGCCACAGGCGCCGAGCCTCCTATCACGTTTTTAACGGAACAGAGATGGTAGACCAGAGAAATATTTAGGAGGCAAATGGCTATGACCTGGTTATTGACTGCATTTAGTTGTGGAGAACAGAAAATAGTCAAAATTGGGTGATAGGATGCCAAAAACTGAGATCAAAGCTCAAAAGTAAATGTTAGTTTTGGGAGAAAAAACTGGTTCAATTTTAACATGTAGATTTGAACATCTAAAAGGTACCTGAATGGATACAATTAATAGATGGTTGTGTATGGGACTGAAGCTCAGAGAAAACGGAATCCCCAGAGCGGATGTACCCACTCCAAGAGCATCTGAGCCCAGGTCAAGGAGAAGGGAGCCCAAAGAGAGCCTGGAAAGACACACTCAGTGAGCAGGGACTGGGACAAGGCTGGGGAGACCCCCACGGCACAAGAAAGTTTTGGAGAGGAAATGGCCGAACACGGAAACAGACGAAATTTTCTATATAGGGATCATTGGTAATATTTGTCAGAACAATTATTTAATGACATTCTGGGATAACAGTTGAAGAATGAATAAAGAATGAATTCTCCTCTTGCTCATGCATAGAATGAATTAATGACACCAATGAAAGCAGGTATTGTAAGACTGAAAGGGATAATGTTTGAGAAGTATTTAGAAAAGTGCCGGCACACAGAACAGGCTCAACAAACATCCAGCGTGTTACAGCAACTGAGTGTGCATATTTGGGCCTGGATAAACCTGGGTTTGTAGTCTAGCTGTGCCACTATATAGTTGTATAAACTTGGGTCAGTCACTTTTTATACGTTTTTTTCTTTCATCTATAAAATAGGAAGCAGAGAAACAACTACCTTATAAAACAATTTCTAGGTGTTGTACATTATTATTTCCTATAATGACGGTATGTTAATCTTTACATATTTGTGCTGTCATCAGACTGAACTCTTAGATTATAAATGGATACAATTAGGGTTCGTTTTGGTCACATGATGGTGAATACAATTTGTTTTAATATTGGTTTTTGTTTGTTTTCTCACTAGGTCTCTTTTCCCTGGATAAAGGGCAGCAAGCCAGGCTTTGCATGTCTTTGCCTTGGTGCTTGTCCAGGGCAGACTCTTCCCCAAACTAGAAAAGGCAATGGTGGTATCTGACCTGGGGGTAGGAGAGAGGACAACGGACTGGACACGGTCACGGGAAGGGGAGAGGTGAGTGGGAAGCCGGCACCCCCCTCACAGGAGAAGTGGAGACCTGCAAGAGACCGGACAGGGCCAAGGGAGGGGGCTGCAAGGCTTCAGTGTCATCAACCAGATGACACTGGCTCCCAGCACCAGCCATTGGGGATCCAGGAAATTTTGGAAAGGGAGAAGACAAAAAATCTTAACAGAAGTCAGGCTTCTCACTGGTTTGCATGGGTTTGAGAACTAACTACAGGAATGCCCCGTGTCTCAGACATGAATTTATCCCCTAGAAAATCATTCCTAAAGCATGCTTACACCATCTATCAAGAAATAAAGGTATTCTTGTCTCCACTTGGTTGAGTTTTGCTCATTATTTTTATTTTGTGCCTTATGACATTGACTAGAACTTGAAAAATGATAAAAGGCCTCCTGGTTAAGAATGAGGAACAATTTAGCTCCGACCTGCACAGACCAGGTGGAAAGAAAGTCTCCGTGGATGCAGGTGAGAGAGACAAGCCCTCTCACCCCCAGCACAACTTGGTCCTTCCTTCCCCATCCCAGATATTTAATGTAGAAAAAACTGTGGAGACTTCAAGTAGAGTGATGCTCATGGACTAGCATATGGCAAATTGAAGGCTCATGGTAGGAATTAAATGCAATCACAGAAAAATTAAGTAAATTATCCATCCTGACCATCTGTGCGTGTTGATTAAGATTCATCCCCATTCTTACTCCGGTGGTTTGGGAGGTTTTTACCTTGTGCAATATCCTCACGGGAGCAGGTATGACAAGAACCAGTGCTAACCTGGGACTCCTAAGCTTAAAAATTTTTCATCTTAAGTGACCTTCATTAAAATGTGTTTACTCACACCTGTAGAAAGTACACTTAGAACTTTTCTCCTGGTATGAGAAATGAGTCTGGTCTATGGCATAAGTGTTGCGTCTGAAGTATGAAAGTTCAAGGCAAGTAATGTCTGCTTGACACTGTTTAGCACCATCCCTAATCACGGCCTGCCAAGGTCTGTCCTTTTCCAGGAATCCCATCCCGTGGCCTCTGTGCCCCCTCCCTCTTTTTCTCTCCCTCCCACTGCACCTCACCTAATGTCACTGTAAATAAGCTGCCCACTCTCGGTTTTTACCCCAGGCGCTCACCTTGCCATCGTATCTCTGACATTGAGCCCTCCAATCAAGCATGCTCACTTTCCTGCAGCTCCCAGATCTGGGAGACATGGGTGAGGATGGGGGTGGGTAAGGGCCACTGAGGGCTCTTACCTGCCACCCACTGCTGCTCCAAGCAAGATGGCAACTGAGCTCAGTGCTGGACGGCCTGGGCATTCCCGTCAAGCTGCCTGGCCTGAAATCCCAGCCCCGTCGCTGTTCATCCTAGGACAGTTATTTTGGTCTTTCTAAGCTCCAACGGCTTCATCTGCAAATAGTGATAAGAAGAAAATCTATTTCAAAAGGTAGTTCAAAGAGGATATTACACATATCTCAAGCGCTCTGTACCAGGCCTAGTGCGGATGGGTGGCTGATCGTCAATAACAGTGCGTCACCTTAACACTTCCTCCCTCATGTAAAACCCGCCACTATGTCATGACACTTTCTGTGCCTGACACCCGGCCCCACGGTTTTCATTCATTCAACCCTCTCTTACAGGCCTTTGAATTAGTCCTTAACACCAAGGACTTTTGCAAGCACTTCACCTAAGAAACACATCTATGGCCACGTCCTGTACTGTTTCCCTGTTTACAAGGCTTTGTCCTCTGAGATCGTGATCTTCAACATCCCACTCTCACAGGAGAACCACTTCCGCGTCAGCTCTCCCCAGGCCACTCCAAACATCCCGACTCCATCAACACCTCTGACCCCTGGATGAGGAACTACCAGCTGCTTTTTGGCTTCATTTTTATTGTCACCAAGTTGAGATTCCTGAGTACAGTGACCAGTTTCTTTCTCTTTTTTTCTTTTAAGGCAGAGTCTCACTCTGACACCCTGGGTAGATTGTGGTGGCCTCATAGCTCACTGCAACCTCAAACACTTGGGCTTGAGCAATCCTCTTGCCTCAGCCTCCCAAGTAGCTGGGACTATAGGTGCACCCCACAACACCCAACTAGTTTTTGTATTTTTAGTAAAGATTGGGTCTTGTCTTTGCTCAAGCTGGTCCTGAATTCCTGAGCTCAAGCAATCTCCCCCCTTGGCCTCCCAGGTGTGATTAGAGGTGTGATCCTCCACACCCCAGCCAGTTACAAGTCTCCTTATTGACACGGTTCTCTTAGCCCCACTCTTTGCTGTGCCTTCTGGCTCCTGCTCTGCCAGACCCTCACTCTCCCAGGACTGTCCAATGTGTAGCTGGTCACAATAGCAACATCTCCGGTGTTCAGTCAGCACACAGGGCAGTGGCCCCTCATGGCACCGCACCAGTTATGCGACATTTTCATGACAGCCCAAAGTTCTACTGGGCAGCAATGCTTTGTCTGAATAATGGATGGTCTCTCTTCTACACTTCAGGATGAAGAATACTTCTGCGTGCCCAGGTGTGGTGGCTCATGCCTATAACCCTAGCACTATGGAGGGGCTGAGGCAGATGGATTGCTGGAGCTCATGAGCTTGAGACCAGCCTGAGCAAGAGCAAGTCCCTATCTCTACTAAAAATAGAAAAACTGGCTGGCCGTTGTGGCAGGCGCCTGTAATACCAGCTACTTGAGAGGCTGAGGCAAGGGGATTACTTGAGCCCAAAACTTTGAGGTTGCTGAGCTGTGGTGACACCATGGCACTCTACTCAGGGTGACAGAGTGAGATTCTGTCAAAAAAAGAAATATTGGATAATAGAACAATTATGTGGTTGGATGCCCCATGAAACCTCAGTGCAAGAAATCTCAGTAGTCTTTAAGGATGCCTGGAGGTGTTCTGAATTACCATGGTCTCCTGCCTTCTTCGTCCACCATCACGAAATTTCAACTGTCTCCTCACGCCTTCCATGGCCCCACCTTCGCCATCTCTCTCAGCAGTTGAACTGACCTTCTTTTCCCCCTGAAAATTCAATTATGTTAAAAAGCTCTTAATTGCTCTGTCAGTTATAATTGTTTTCTTAGAGACCTCTTTTATTTTTTCCTTTCTGCTTAAGGCCAATCCTAATTCAAGGATGAATTAGGATTAATTCATCAGCCAACAAGTATTTATTGAGGAGCTACTATATGCCAGGCACAGTTGTAAGGGATGAGATGCAGCTGTTAACTGTAAATAGCCCACTATTTCTACCTTCATTTGTGTGTTATCAGTTCTACAATAAGTGAATATATCAGATGCTAATTAAGTATAATGGTGATAAATAAAATGGGCTGAGTGTTAGGGTGTACTGGGGTGGAGTTAATTGCTATTTTATATTGAGTACTCCAAAGAGGCCTTATTGATTTGAATGGAGACAACTGATAAGGAAGTCAGGGAGTGTGTGGGGGATCCTCCGGGGAACATTGATGACCACCCTGGCAGGGGAATGTCAAGAGCAAAGGCCCTGGGCATACACGGGTTCAACTATTGAAGGGCTAGCGGGGAGATGGTGTGGGAGGATGGAGAGAGTGGGGAGCAGCAGAGAAGCAGCTATGGGTGGGGACACAGCCAGGTCACAGGGCTCCTTTCTGGACACAGTGAGGGGTGAGTGAGTGTAGAGGCCATCGGAGGGTACTCACAGAAGAGCAGTCTCATGGACATATTTTGACAGTGTCATTTTGGTGTTGGAGTATAAAGGATGGAAGTAGGGAGACATGGTAGGAGGCTATTGCAATAATTCAGGTACGCTGAGGAGTTCAGGCCAATCGGGATGGCAGGTTGGCCAGAGTTCCAGCATAGAGTCAGTAAGTGCTCTGACCTGAGTCTATTTTGAAGTCAGTCCATCCTGTCCTGCCACTGCAGGAAATGTGCTTCTCTGCCTCCTCTGTGTCATTAAACTATCCTTTTTTACTGGCTCATTTCTCTCAGAAGAGAAACATGCTTACGTCTCTCATATCTTAAAACTTGAAAGGCCTTGCTCTCCCCCCTCAATGCCTCCATCTCTGGTCTCTATTCCATTTCTTCTTCACAACATTGGACAGTGTGGTCTGGAATGGCTGCGTCTCCTCAGTCCTTTCATCTCCTCCTCCACCCACGGAAATGCATCCCCTGGTGACGAGGATGATCTGGGCAGGCTACAGCCAGCACTGATTTGAGGCCTGTCACATCTATGGGGCTTTTCTGTCTGTGCCTCCCTTGACCGTCCTGCGTCATCCGACACGCCAAAGCTCTCATTTGGCTTGGCTTCCTTGACAACGCTCCCTACTTGTTTTTCTCCTACACATCCGACTCCTTCTCAACATTCCTCACAGCCCTATGTTCCTTCACTCACCTCCTAACTGTGAGGGTTCCCAAGACTCTGCCGTTAAGTTTCCAATTCTCTGCTCTCTCTCTCGGGAAGGGAAGAGCTGCTGTAAGGAATAGAATTAAAAATGATGATGCCTCAGAATCAACCTAAGTCTATTTTTCACTCAAGTAATAATAATAGAAAATAAATGTCCTTAGTCTATGGGATTTTAGTGAGAATTGAAATTCTAACTCAGTGGCCAACATAGCAGCTCTGGGATACCAAAGCAAGGGTAATGCAGACCACTGCGATGGGAGCTTTCGAGTATTAATAGACATCTGAGAATAGACTCCATGATCATAAAAGTCTTAATGGTCCTTTAAAAAGTAGGCAGAAATGGAAAGATTCTGGGAGATGCTTTTAGAAAAAGCACCTTTTGGATGGGGGGGGAGGGGTGCCCTGCACAATGATTCCAGACTCCTGCCTAAACGAATGTCAATTGGTCTATGGTAAGGTAGAGGATGAAAGGGGGAAGGGGCCACATTCATGAGGAAACCATCATAACCCCACCAGGGATGAGCCAGAGATGCAGAAGTTTCTCATGGACTTAATGGGCTATGTGGGAGGGAGGGCAGGTGTGGAGCTGGCTTAGGCCCTGCCTGAGAGGACAGCCTGGGAGGAGGATGTGTCCACAGAGAGGTCTGTATGTAAGAGACTGCAGGGAAGCGTGGCTGGAATGGGGAGCTGCTGTCCATACACAACAGCTGCAGATGGAAGGACCCTGTTAAAAAATGAGCCAGGTGTAAGCATCGGCCAGGCTGGGAGGGCGTAAGGCATTTTAGTTTTCTCTCACTAAGTTTTGTCAGTGGTAGTACAAGCTCACTTCCAAGGGTAAAGGAATGGTGGCTTTGTGATAGGTGAGAAAAGAAAATAAGGGGTCAGGTGCAGAGGCTCACACCTGCAATCCTAGCACTCTAGGAGGCTAAGTGAGTGAATTGCCTGAGCTCAGGAGTTCAAGACCAGCCTGAGCCAGAGCAAGACCCCACCTCTAAAAACAGCCAGGCATTGTGGCAGGTACCTGTACTCCCAGCTACTTGGGAGGCTGAGGCAAGACAATCACTTAAGCCCAAGAGTTTGAGGTTGCTGTGAGCTGTGAAGCCAAGGCACTCTACCAAGGGTGACATAGTGAGACTGTCTCAAAAAAAAAAAAAAAAAAGAAAAGAAAAGAAAAGAAAAGAAAAGAAAAGAAAGTAAGGAACTAAAATAGTAAACAGGACAGGATGAAGAATAAAATACACAGAACAAGGTAAAAGAAAAGGTTACCAATTGCAGCATCTTTCTAACCCAGTTAGTTTCAAAGCCAGGGAAGAAGCTGAACCCTAAAAGCTATTCCTCCAACAGAAAAGGACATGATTCCAAAGTGGCAGAACATCACCCCAGCTGGAGTGTCCCAGGAAAGCTCCCGCCCGTGGCCTTAGCTCTTGTCCTAGGCTTTGGAGGTCATCAGCACCCAGCCGTCCAGCTGAAGATTTTACACAAGCTGCAAATGATGCTCTGGGAAGGGGGAGGAAGACAGAAGGGCACGCATCTGAACTATTGGGGGCAAACAGGAGTCTTGCTGTCTTACCCCATTCAAAAAGGAGTTAGCCGAAAAGAAGCAAACAGCAACATGGGGCTTATGAATAAACTCTGCACCTAACAAGAAGAAACTAAACAAAAGGGCAAAGAAAGAGGAAGAGCCCACTCAAAACCTGAAGAATATTTAAATCAACAATTTGCTTACATATTCAAGAGAATTTGAGAAACGGTCAAAAACACTCTTGTCAAAATGCAATAGAAGAAAATGTGAGATGAGAAAAGATCTCTCCATTTCTGGAAAGATAGAAATCATAATTTTTTTTTTCGGTTTTTGGCCAGGCTGGGTTTGTACCCACCACCCAGTCTGGCATATGGGGCCAGTGCCCTGCTCCTTAGAGCCACAGGCACCGCCCTTGAAACCATAATTTTGTTTTTGGTTTTCTTTGGACAATTAAATTTAAGGCCTCTCCGTGCCTTTCCTGTCTGCTTTCCTTTCTTCCCTCCCTTCTTTTTCTCTTTCTTCCATCTTTTTGTTTTTCCCTCATGGCATTTATTATTTTGATAATAAGAAAAATAGTTATTTTAATTAAAAATACTGTTTAATGATATGCTATCATTAAATGATAAACTTTGCGTAACTGCAGGTAGAGAAAGCTAGAATTATCTGCAGCTGTTAGAAAGGCCTGGCACTAGGAAATGAGATTTTAATCAAGATAACTGTTGGGTGTGGACTTGACACATAAAAAGACTCAGGATAAGAAAGAACTAGAGTTAAAAGAACCACATTAAAACTTGAAAAAGATGTGAATGGAAAGGGATGGAAAACTTAACAGATAAAAGATCAGTGGAATGAATTATAGGGCTTATGTCTGTACACATTCAAGTGATGATAAAAATGACACCCTAAAGGGGGAAATTCAGACACAGTGCTGATTCAGTCTTTAAAGAAGAGATTGTAAAGTTATAGCTTATTCTTCCTTATTCTGTTATGTGCAAAATGTATTCCAGATCATTGGAAGGCCAAAAATATTTAGAAGAAAATTTAGATAAATATCAATGTGATTTTCTGATGGAGAAGCCTCAGCATAAAGAAAAAGATTCCAAGAATATTCTGCATAAAAATTTAATTTTTCTTTTGGTCTGAAACACTATAACAAAATTAAGGGGCTAAGAACAAACAAGAAAAAAATTACAATGATATATAGCAGATAGTGGTTAGGGTTTTTAATATAAAAAGAGTTCTCATTAATAATAAAACATATTCTAATAGAGAATATAAATTTATGTGTAATGAAATTTCATTTAAAATATAATAGTATATGAATGAAGTTCTTATTAATAAAATAGATAAGCAAGCAACATACACATAGGATGTGAACTGTGACTCAAAAGAAAGTCACACAAATGGACAATAAAATGTTTTACTTTATTAATAAATTTTTTTAATTTTTAATTTTTTATTTTTTTGTAGAGACAGAGTCTCACTTTGTCGCCCTCAGTAGAATGCCATGGTGTTGCACAGCTCACAGCAACCTCTAGCTCCTGGGCTTAGGCGGCTCTCTTGCCTCAGCCTCCTGAGTAGCTGGGACTACAGGTGCCCACCACAATGCCTGGCTATGTTTTGTTGCAGTTTGGCCGGGGCTGGGATTGAACCCGGCACCCTTGGTGTATGGGGCCGGCGCCTTAATTAATAATTTTAAAATCCAAAACAAAACAAAGCATACACTGTATTTGGCAGGAAGCCGGGAACTATAATGATATGCAGACCCAAACACAAGGAACATTATTGGTTGGAATGTCAATAGGTAACAACTTTTAGGAGGGCAATGGTAATACAAATGAAGATCTCAAATATGTCCACATTCTTTGGATCCAGCAACTCAACTGGTAGGCATGTATCTTAAGGAAATAACCGGAGATTCAGTGAAAACTATAAAAAATACTCCAAAATACTATTTGTGACGGCAAAATTTGGAAATGACTTCTAAATACAGTAACAGTAGACCAAAAGAAAAATAAAGACACATATGCTTAATAGATCACGCTATCAAATATTTAATGAATATATTAATAGTCATTAATATTTTCAAGGAACATTTTGACCGATGAAAATACTCAACATACAATGATGGGTGAAAATATCAACATACAAAATTATATTACAGTTTTGCAATTTTGTTTTATACATCCCCTGCAAAATTTTAACAGTGATTGCTTCTGAGAAAAAGGATCATGTGTGATTTGCATTTTTTGTACTTACCTATATTATCCACATTGCATACACACAATGTGTATTACCTTTTAAATCGGAATAGATGTCATCTAAAAGGCAACGATTTTGGTGTCGGGAGTGGAGGGCATCAGAGGGCAGGTGCCCGGTGGCTACTGCACAGGGATTCTTTCTATACAGATGCACCAGAAGAGGGCGCCTCAGCCTATTCCCACAGGCACACAGTAGCTGGATCTCCTGTCTGGGATGTTCCTCAGCTCAGTAGCATTCACTGTTCCTGTTGGGAACATGACTTCTCTGAGTTTCTCAGAAATTTCCATTGAAGGAGGATATGTAGTTGTTAATGCTCCCCCCACACACCCTGTGAGAGCTTCCTCTAGTGCAATCACACAATAACAAACACTCTGTGTTGATTTGTGCTTGGTTATCCTAAAGGATCGATTGGATGACCAACAAACTGTACCTGAATCCTACTTCGCTTCTTGGAAAGTCTGGCATTCTTCACGGTAGCAGCTGGGGGTCAGCAGATACCCTGGTGTCTTTTGTTGTGTAAAGGAAGCTTCCAACTTGGAAATCCTGAAGCTGCTACATATTATTGTTTTATTTTCCAAGTGACATGGTCTGGGCGTCCCTGGTTCCATTTTTGGAAGCCAAACTTCTCACCTAGTAGAATGCTTATAATTCACTACTACACAAAGGCAAATCCAAGTAATAAATTATCCTGTATAATTACTGTACTATGCATCAGCTGAGTCAGTTTCATCATTATCTAAATATTATAAAGCCCCAGCCTTTTCTTTTGGCCTATCATTCTGTCTTTCACACACACCTGCTTCATTCTGACTCCTTAATATGCCCTCAGGATGGAAATGCAAGGAGGGGATGAGTGCAGACATCTATAAAATGGCTTCAGCTAGGGCCCCAACATGATAGTTTAAGAGGATGAAGTATAGCTTGGCCTGTAGTAAAAACATTTGCTTTTCCTGATGCATACAACATAATGGGAATACTCCTTTACCAAACACACACACACAGCTAATAAACAGCATGAGAATTTTGTCTATTCACAAAGAAACAGAAACCCGATGCTGAGCTCTTGAGAATCTTTGAACTGCTGTGTTCTTTTGGCTTTGATCACTTGCTTTTTTAATTTCAGAAGTTCCTTATGGGATAAATACCAGTAGGTGTGGAAACTGAACCACAGAGATGTGGACTGTCTAGTAACTTTCTAGCCAGTGACAGAGCCAGATGCGCAGTTGAGTCTCCCAGGACTAGTCTGCCTACATTTCCAAAGTCCAGTTCAGCCAACAAAACTTTCAGAGAAATGATAGCAGTAAGCAACATTTACTATGTACCAGGCACGTTCTGTGTGCTTCTCATGAATTGATGCCTCTATCCCGTAGGACAATCCTATCTCTGAAGGAGGTGCCAATGTTATCAGCATTTACTAACTGAGTCACTCCCAGGGTTCTAAATCCTGACTTTGAATCCAGGCAGGCAGTCTGCAGACAAAGGCCTGGCTTTGCCACACATCCAACCACAACCTTCTACCCTGTGTTCAAATGGTGTTTCTTCCCACCCCCCAGGACCCTGGGGTGCAGGGCCTGGGCCCTCAGTCATCACAAGGAGGCCATATGTGGCTGCACTTATCTGAATCACTGGGGTCTTCTCTAGCCAGAGCCCACTACCACCAGGGCCAGAAGGAGCAGAGAGTTATTTGGGATGCTATGGTTCTAAAGCTCAAGGAAAAGCTATTCCTCAGGACACTCCTTCTTGGGACAAGGACCCTTAGTGAAATTTGGCTTTTATGGACCTCCATCTGAAAAGCTAAGCTTTTCTTTGGGAGTCTGAAGTGAAGGTTAGGGATGATTGCTCAGAGGGGGAAAGTGTGAAATGGTAATCATTTTCATATGACACCCGAGAAATGTTATAATAAAGCTGAGTAAATTGGAGCATGAGTTAGCCAGTCCTTTGCCTAATGATGTCACCTACTTTGTGCTTCCTCCAGCCTATGATTAATAAAAGAGGGGTTATGACAGTAACTCACTCCTAGTGGGCAGCAGTGACGTCAGCAGCAGCTGAGCAAACTGACTACATTTAGTCGTGCGTGTGTATGTGGGCATTTTTTTTTCCTGTGACTAACATGAAACTAACAGCATCTAATAAAACAAAAGCTCCTTGAAATTTAGAGAACTTATTGGGTGAAGTCTTTTCTACAGGGAGTACCATTTTAATTATTCTCATTTCATAGTTATATAATGTTGGAGTTGGCCAAAATTACATTATTGGCTTTCTGCCGCTGTTTCATTAAGCGATCACAAATTAACCCCTGGCCTTTGGGAGAGAGGTTTATTGGAGCTTTTTTCCTCTCCCCACTTCTAATATAATGGTCCTTCCTTCATTCATCATTCTATCCCATGTTTCAAGAGGAACTCAGTCTTAAGAAAATGGACTGTAGCCATCGATTATATTTTGCAAGTTTAAGACGAGTTATAGAATTAGTGATTCTAGCTAAACGCCACAGGAATACTGTGCTTAATCACAGTTTTCTTTCCTAACCCGATACAGAGTGGCAGAGGCCTGCCTGCTCTTTCACCTTTGCAAACCTGACCTTCCTAAAATTAGAATGGGGCACCTGGAAATATTTACTAACCTAGCTGAGCCGCTGCCAGTGTGGATGGGAGTACGCAGTGCCCGTGAACAGCGGCACTCAGGTTCTGCCTGGACGTGCCTTGGAGCTGCTTCCAGGGGGCAGAACCTTTGGACTCTTGCTATCAGGACATGAGGGAGGCAGCAATTCACTGATTAAAAAAAAAAAAAATACACACAGGACTATCCCTAGGTTTTTCTGTGGGGCCTTTCCCCTCTGAAGGCAATTTGGGAACAGGTCGTGGGGGTATCTCTGTTATCTCTGTAGATAGGCAAAATTGGATTAGAATCAAGATTTCTGCTCTTATCAGTCCAATGGAATCTATATGCTAAACCTCTATGTCTTCAAGTCAGCACAATGGAACTTAGGACTCAAGGAGAACCAGGTGAGAAAAATGATTACAACAGTCTATTGTATGTTCTCTGGGAACATTTTCCGATCACCTTCTGGGGCAACGGGACGATCAATTGTTGTAGCAAATGTTTCCTGATTGGGTCAGAACTGAGTTATGACAAACAATTTAGAAATATATATTGGTCAGGAAGAACTTGGAGGGCCTGTTTACTCAGCGTGAGTTAGTGTGGCTTCTCTTTTCACTGGGTATTTTTCTACAGAGGTTGTACATGAGTATTTCTCTCAGTATTGAAATGTTTCCATGTTCTGTATTGTTACTGCCTGGGAAGGAATGGAGGCATTTCTGAGTCACTCGGAAGTTGATTGAGGCCTTTGGTTCCAAAATGGTGATTTACCTGAGGAGTCTGTGATTCATATCTTGGAGGAGATGACATGTGTCAGAGTGCCTAAGACATCGTCCTGATGGCTCTTTTCATCTTAAAGTGATCTCTGACTACCCTCTCCCTTCTGGATGGCCCGAGTCGCTTAGGAGCCAAGTGATGAACCAGAGAAGCTGTCTCTCACTGTCTGGACAGCAGCATTTCACGTCTAAGCTAGTTTGATACAAGCAACTTCCCTTTTGCAGGTTTTTACCAACGCTTGTTGGTTATTATTTCTATGATGTGGGATCCTTCACAATAGTTTCTCCAGTCCTCACAGGGGAGTGACACCTGAGGGGCACGGCCTTCCTTTAACTGCCATACCTCCTCCTTTTAAAAAGGAAGTTTTTAATGTTGCTTGCAACAGCATTGGGGTTTAACAAAGCTCTGTGTTTTATCTCTTCGGATATTAATTGTATGTCGTTCCCCTGAGGCATTAAACAAATAAAATCAGGCTACATCATATTTGTTTGCTCTAGGAAAAAGGCATAGTAATCTCACTTTTCTGAATTTTCCTTGAGGGAATTGTCTAGTGCGTGGATTTATCTGATACTGAATTGCTAAAATGAACAATTGTTCATTCCTTGACTCTTTCTCGTGTCTCTGCCTCCTAACAACCTGGGTGTGGGCCAGCTCATCTCATTTTGTTGCTGGTCACCAAGATTCTGCTTTTGGTTAAAACAGCAAGCCAGCAGGAAAAAGTATTGAGGCCATATGGGAAAGTTGGTTGAAACAACAATATCGCTGGAGAGGAACTCTCAGTGCTTCAGGTATCTCCAGTCACTGGGAACCACAGGATGCATACGCAAGGGGAATTGCTAGAATCCTTATTATTCTGCGTAGCTACAATATTTTCCTTGGTTTCTAAGGCCTCTTAGATTGTAGATGAGAGAGGAATTAGGTGAAACTTTAAAATTCTAACTCTAAACCAGGATATCCAAATACAGAACAATTAACACCTTGGGCCAGATCATTTCTTGTTGTGAGGACTATCTCGTTCATGGCACAACGTTTAGCAGAATCCCTGGGCTCTACCCACTAATCTCCCTCTCTAACCAAAAATGTCTTCAAACATTGCCAGATGTCCCCTGGGGAACAAAGCGACCCCAGTTGAGAACCACTGTTATAGAGGGAAGAACACAAGTTTACTTCCTGGGTTTTTTTTCTTCATCTTTCCCTACCTGTTTCAGTTCTAGCATCTGGGTTCCCTTGGTTCAGACAATGGCTTTTCCGAATACTCTGGAAACAGAGTACTCTCATACGGTGGAAGGCCTCACAGGATATTCCAGTGGTTCTGAGAAATGTGGGATTTAGGAGTTGAGTCTTAGATTAACTATTTCTGACCCTGTTGTTTTCAATGAATTCCAGAGGAATTCTCCCTCTCTGTTTAGAACTAGTCATTGATTTAACTTAAAAGTAAAACAGCTTCCCAGTCCAACTAGGAACCTGAAATGCTGATCTTTCTTGGTCTCAGGTCCTTCTACCTAACATTCAGCCCAAGCTACATGCATACTCGGACTGGCCAGCAAACAATCAGGGCCTGCCAATCCCATGTTGGATTTAAACTGCTCGCTCAGAGACCCTGAATCCCAGACTCCTGCAATTTCACTGCTGTAAATATCACTATGGACCTGGCCCACGTTTTCTGGATTCAGGGCTGCCTCTGGAGGGAGTCACCACTCAGCAGCAAGGCCAGGTTTTCCTGCCCAAGCCCCAGAATAACACGTCAGCTGCTGGGAACACCTCAAGTCCTTTTGATTTCTCTCCACAGTCACGTTTTATGTTCAGTTTCCCAGACGAGATGAACAAGAAATCATGCATTTTTGAAAACAGATTTTTCATAAGAAGGAACTAACACACCCTGACTTGTCAGCAGCCTGGTCTGTGCCTCTGAACCCCCAGTCTCCTGTCATTTCAGCTGACTCAGAGGGCAACTTTCCAGTCACCTGCCTGAGGTGTTCACGGCCCCTGGCTTATAGTTTTGACCAAATAACGGCCATGCCTGGGCGGCAGCTAAAGTAACAGAGCCATGAAAAAGATGGCCTCTTTTTCTGGGCCCATCTCCTAGTTCCAGGAGTAGTGAGGAAAGAGACCAATTAATAGCCTAGACGGAGGCTGAAGGACATACGGTTTGCTTGAGAAGAAAAGTGAACGTTCTTGCTTCCTCATCCATGCCAACTTCGAAGAGGGACAGCTGCTGCCACGGGTAAACACCCTAGAGTGTTAGCCGTGCCCCTAAGGTATGTGTCACCGCGAGCCACCGGCCGGCACACGAAGGATGGCCTCTCCCCCTGCTCGCACAATTGAGCTCTTATCCTTAAACGAACTTTGTTTTTTGACCGGCTCACTAATTGTGATTGAAAACACCAGCTCCCCAGCAATGCACAAGCATTGGAGTTAGCAGCAGCAAAGACAGGCCCTAATTGCTCCATTTACATAAAAGTAGAAACATACAACTTCTAAATATAAATCTCTGGCACATCGTTCCTTTTGCAATTACAGTAAAATAAGGTACCACAGTTTCCCTCCCGGCTCCTTCTCGCAGCAAGCTGCTCCGCCGGGTTCGCTAGTGGCTGCTCCTCGAGGCGAGAACAGAGCCGGGCAAACGCTCCAGCGCGGAGTTGGGAGGCTTGTGAAGTAGCCAGTAAATCAGGCCGCCTCCGCTAGGTGAATAACGCGGTGGCAGCGGGCCACCCTGCCAGTGCGGTAGCTGCTGGGACCGAACCCCACCACCAGAAAGGGGGCGGCCGGCGGGTGCGTGAGCGCTCCCGGCTCGCCTCTGAGCGCGGGGAGCCCGCCGGCCCCGCCGCCCGTCCCGGCCCCTGACATTCGCTGTGGTTCCAGCCCTGGCACTGAGGGCTGGGTTCAGAGACTCTCAGCTGCACTCACTGAACAGTGATTTTTTTTCCCCTCCCTGAATTCTTTAGCTGCCAAAAGGGGGGAAAAATCAAGAGCTGCTCTTAAAAGAAGTTGCCCTTGCTGGTGCTCAGGGTAAAAATAGAGGCGGCCGCTCGGAACGGCTTGGCCCTGACTCCAGGCGTCCCGCGAGCTGGGCTCTTGCAGCGGCCGCGTTCCGGCGTGATCCCAGGAAGCCGCCAGCAGGTGTTGCTCAAGGTACAGTAGCAGGGCCGAGAAGCCGGGACCGAAGGGCCTGGGGTGTGGGGAAGCTCTGGGGGAGGGGGCAGGAAGTGAAAGAGAAACCAAACCCAGGCAGCAGCAGGAGACTCTGGTCCAGACTGGGCGGACCAGCTTCTGTCCTGGGCCCTTGAGTTGGGAAGGGAAAAGCTGACCCGGTCCAGAATATTCCAAAGGAGCTATTTTAACCTGCCTGCGTCCTCGGCCACCCCCAGCCTTGGTTTCCACTGAGTGAGCTGGCGTTTCCACTGTGGTTCCTCTCTGAGGTTAGGGATGCTGACGGAGTGGGTCCATCCCGGCTGGTGGGCTGGCCTGGCAGGTGGGCACTTCGGTGGCATCAGATGGCCAGTGCGGTTGCAGAGTCAGAGTCAACACTGGTGAGGAGGCTCCTCTAGTCAAAGTGCTGCAGGTTCCTGCGACACAAATGTTTAGAAAGAGCCACCAGGCTTCTCAGAAATAATATCAGCTATTATTTTCTGACCACTGCACTTGACCTTGCAGGTTAATATCGTAGAGCCCATTTTGTAGATGGGAACACTGAGGACTGAATTTCCATAATGAGTGAAGAGGGGAACAGGGTCCCTTGTGTTTTGTTCTGTGCCCCTCCTCCGCCCATGATAATTTGGAGGGACATAGTGGTCACCTGTGGGGCAGGAGTGAGTTTAGATGCCCTGTAGGCCATTGAAGGGAAGGTTTGGAGTTCACCATCTCTGGTCCCGGTTCTGTCTTCACTGCTTAGATTCCTTCTCTTCCTCTACAACCTAATGATTTTATTTCCTCCTTCATTTCTGCATGTACAATTCTTAGAATACTCCTTTCCCTCCCCCACATGCCGCTCAGCACCCACACTTTCTCTGTGTCTAACCAAGAGAGACCCTCTTACGCAGAAAACTTCTGGTGTCCTAATGGAACCTGCTTAAACCACACATCAGGAGGCCAGAGACTCTATATTTTGCTTGTGGGCACAGTGAAAAGTTTATTTTATGCATGTTAAATCCTGCATACAAAACAACATATCTGGTCATATGGCTCTCATTAGCTCCCAATTTTGCACATTTTATCCAACTTGTCATGAGAACATGGCTTATGCTTCAACTATACTCCTTCAAAGAACCCCTCACCATTCTGATCCTTCCCTCTCTCACTGACCTCCCTCAAAAAAAAAAAAAAACAAAAGCTGATCAACTTTATTTCAAGGCGTGCTCAGCTTCTTTTCATTATTTTCTTACTGTATTTGTAACAATTTAGAAATCAAAGGACTTGAAATTCTTGTAAAGAACAATGATGCATGAGTTTCTTGGGGTTTTGTTGTTGTTGTTATTTTGTTTCTTTCTTTCTTTTTGCTAGTTAAGATGGGATTCAAAGACCTGGAAAGGATACTTATGAAGTTCCCTTGCAGAGAATGACTATTTCCAAAGTTCTTGGTCATAAATGATTTATGAAGCAGGCATTCAATTTCAAGATGTAAATTAATAGTGTAAGTCAGGGGAGGGCAGACCATCATCATAGGGTGATACAGATTTTCCTATTTTTTTCCCCTCAATGAAATAGCTTATTTAAAAATAATAAAATTAGAATCCCTGTAAGGAACACTACCAACTTTCTTCCCAGTAAGACACAATAAAATACTTTGTAAATAGAGGCAACTTCATGAAGTAACAGATGTTTTATGTAAAGACATAAAACCGAACCTGAATATAACAAGACGTGTGTACGCGAGTAGTAAAAGAAAAGTTGGAAGTTGGACATACTCAGTGAGACCTATCTGTGTGATTCCAGTATTTTTCTAAAAGGTAGACTAGTCACAGCCAGAGGTTTCACTGGCTCAGTGTATCACCCTATAATGTCTCAGAAGCCAGCAAGGGCTTTCCATTAGATAATGAATTATGAAATGTCTCACACTGGAAAAACCAGTCATCCGCTGATGTCATGCTGATTCTAACCAATCCCAAAGCCCCAGCCCTCCTCTGTTTGAGTAGTACCAATGTGTGAGTGTACAAATAAGTAGTACAGTATAAAACTTCCCAGTGCCAGTACCATGAAGAGGAACTCAGGCAGCTCTTACCACATGACACAAGAGCCGGCTGGTGAAAGAGAGGGAACCAGAAAGGTAATGCTTTTTAACTCTTACTTCTGAGCTCTTTACACATTCAAAGTAAGGATGGCTAGAAGGAATTTTACAACTAATTGGCACTTCCATGCACATTATGGCATTGTGATTTGTACCTTTTTATATTATTCAGGCAGGTTAATACAGATTTTAATAGCCCTAGAGAGCATGCAAATAGATTATGTGTTTATACAACCCACTCAGCACATATACACAAGTACATATGCCAAAGAGAAAGCTATTTTTAAGAGTTACATTCACAAACAGTAAATTCAGGGAACACACACATACTCACATACAGAGAGAATACAAATATTGATAAGTTGCACTTAATCTAAATGTTACCTCTTCAGTTGTTTGGAGTCATTAAACTTTTAGTTCTATTTCAGACTCTCTTGTAAAACTTAATTGGACTGCAAAATGCTTTGGGTACTGTATATGTGCCTCCATATAGGTGGATGATGTTAAGTATTATAGCACAAAGATGTTTTATTAAACCATTGTTAACACAAATGCCCCCGCCTCCCCCATTCTCTTTTACCACCCCCCACGAAAAATATGAGGCTTTTAAGGCAATGTTGACAAAGTTTTAACAATAATAGTGGAGTAATTGATGTTCTTGGAGCTGAAGCCCCAAAGGTGTTAGGTGACTTACAACAGGGAAAGTCTTGCAAATAGTTATTTTGGAAAACGAGATAGTGTATACAATTGGGAAAAGCATTGTTACCTGTGCAAACTGTAATTTTAACTTAATGTCATGGTTTTCTTGCCCTCTTCCCCTGGTGCTCAGATCTTATGCTTCTAGTAATGATACTTATTAACTCTTTTCACCTCAACTGCATTGCTTGCCTATAATGCTCTGAACACACTAGGTGTCAGCTATAAGCCGACTCAATCTTCTCAAACTAAGAGGGCTTGCTTACGTGTGGGAAAGAACCGGAGAGGGAAAGAAAGCTTTAACAGATGGACCCCTTAAAGATACTTCTGCAAGATAAAAGCAATAAGACAGAAAATAAAAAAGGGGGCGGGGAGGAGGGGAGAATAAAAAAAAAGCTTCAGAAAGGCATTGTTTAAAAATTCACATTTTTCTTTTTTCATGAACACTAAAATCCATGATGATTTCATCCAGGCTGCTCCTTTGAGGGAACCAGAAGCAGTCAAGGAGCCCCTGAATGCACAGGTTGGGACAGGATGGGGGGCAAGCTGAAAAAACTATCACACGACAGAGAAAAATAATTGGGCAATATTTATCAGGGATTCCCCCCCCCCCAGGACCCGTTATTCAAATCAGAAGAGTGCACTTTATTTTTTATAAAGGAATGTGGGAAAGACCAAGTGAATTTTGCATTTTATCAGGGTAAGCGGTGGAAGGCTGAAATGTGCCAGAGGGAGTGTGTCCTGGGCAGAAGGGGGCGGCTGAGGAGGACAAGGGGAGAGCTCTATTTATGGCAGGAGCATGGGACGCACTGCCAGCCCTTTGGGTCTTTCACTGCCCTGCTGCTTTTCACAGTTGGAAAAAGTAGAGAGTGTTATTTGACCCCCAACAAAAGTTCCAAGGCACTTTCTCAGATCTCCCGCCAGTTTTGACTACCCTGAGTATTTAAATATGAATGAATGGGGAAAATGAACATCTCATGTGGTCCCCAACTGGACAGAACAATCGCCTTGGGGCAAAGCAGCTCCCGTGCCTCTGGGCCCCTCTTCTTCGACCTCCAGTTACCTGCCCGAGCCCCCAGCCCCTCCTCCCCACCAGCCGGGCATTCTGTCACCTAGGGTTGTGGCCAGGTGGGTGGAGGGGTGGCGGAGGCAGACTTCAATCAAGTCATCCCTCTTTGCATTTTTCCCCCTTTCCAAAAAAGGAAGAAGGTGAAGCCAGGAAACTGGGCAGAGACAGAAAAAAAAAAGTGAACAAAATTAAGAGCATTTATTTTAGAAGGGAAAGTAGAACCCTGAGAATGGTGGTATTTGAAGAGAGGTGTCTGCGAGGAAGCTACTAGCAGAACAGCCTGTCAGAAATCGGGCTGTCCCTCCCCTCCCCATCACAGCCTTTACTCACAGACAAACTCCCTCCCTCTCCATTCACTCACTAACTCAGGGCCAATCCGTTTCTTCTCTCTCTCTCTCTCCCTCCCTCTCTCTCTCTCCCCCTCTCTTTCTCCCTCCCTCCCTCGCTCCCTCTTTCTCTCCCTCCCCCTTTCTTTCCCTCTCTTCTCTCCCCCTCTCTCCTCTCTCCCTGTCTCTCCCTCCCATCTTCTCTCTGTCTCTGTCTGTTTCCCCCCACCCTGTCTCTCCCTCCCTCCCTCCCTCCTTCCCTCCCTCTCTCCCTCCCTCCTTCCTTCTCTCTTACTCGGAGACAGTCAGAACTCTCCTCCCTGACAGCCACAAACCTACAGCCCTGACTGCATTCAGAGAGGAACCTGCAAACAAAACTTCACAGAAAACTTTTTGTTCTTGTTCCAGAGAATTTGCTGAAGAGGAGAAGGAAAAAAAAAAGCCAAAAAAAAAATAATAAAAACAAAAACCTGTGCGTGAGGGGGGAGGAAAAAAAGGGCCTTTTAAAAAGGCAATCACAACAACTTTTGCTGCCAGGATGCCCTTGCTTTGGCTGAGAGGATTTCTGTTGGCAAGTTGCTGGATTATAGTGAGGAGTTCCCCCACCCCAGGATCTGAGGGGCACAGCGCAGCCCCCGACTGCCCGTCCTGTGCGCTGGCCACCCTCCCAAAGGATGTACCCAACTCCCAGCCAGAGATGGTGGAAGCCGTCAAGAAGCACATTTTAAACATGCTGCACTTGAAGAAGAGACCCGATGTCACCCAGCCGGTGCCCAAGGCGGCGCTTCTGAACGCGATCAGGAAGCTTCATGTGGGCAAAGTGGGAGAGAATGGGTATGTGGAGATAGAGGATGACATTGGAAGGAGGGCAGAAATGAATGAACTTATGGAGCAGACCTCGGAGATCATCACGTTTGCGGAATCAGGTTGGTGCTGGCATTTGCGGAGGGGGGGGTGCGGGGGGAGTAAAATATATCTCTTTGACAGTCCCAGGAGGAACTTCTTTCTCTTCCAGCTGGAAACTGCCTGGGAAGGCGATTAGTTATTAAGTGATGGTAGCGGACCCACGGAGGGGAGGCAGGGGAGGGGGAGAGGACTTCTCAGCGGCAGGGCTGAGCTCTGCCCAGAGACGACTAGCTTACACTTGCTAAACTCGGCCAGTCAGTCACACAGGGAGGAAGCTCTTGGGCCAGTCTCAGACTGCAGACCGGTGTGTGAGGGGCTGGCTTGCCCTGCCTGTGACACCAGATCTGAGCAGCCGGATGGATGGATGGGGCGTTTGGGGGAGCTTGGGAAGCAGGGGCTTCCAGACACCATCCAAAGTTTTTTATTGGGGGTAGGGGGAATGCCGGGATCCGAATGGAATAGCACAGATGAAGTCATTGTCTTAAAACAAACCTTCCCCTTTAAAAGTCCCAATCTGGGGCCACATCAGAGAAGCAGGGCACATTTATTAGGGACAGTAATTTTTACCTTTAGAAACTATAAGCGCATAGGCACCACGTTCTAGGCAGTAAAGAGATACTTTGGGGGACAGTTGACATTGAACCTGTAGTCACTTTTGGAACACTGACTTTTGCTCTCTGAACTTAAAGAGAGAGAGAGAAACCCACACCGTTTTGTTCTCTATAAAGTTTCTAAGAGCTCTCTGCCAAGAAACGCAACCTTCACAAACTGCTCTCAGATACTAAGATGAACTCTCACTCAATCCTTAAGAGAAAGAACTTTAATAAATAGCTAGTAATCGTTAGTCCAAGACCACACTAACCTGTTGCTGAATAGAATTACCTGCCAAAAGTATGGGGCCATAGACTTGGAGCCAGACTATTTTTATAGTTAAGTGACACAGATCCTTTTGCGTGCCTGCAAGCCCATGCAAGCAGGGCACACAGATGTGTTAATACCGTGTTACTTTCATGATAATGCCAGGCTAAAGAATCGTATCCCTTGCCAACTCCATTTGAAAGGAATGCCATTGTTTTGTTTGGTAGAGCATATGGCCAGTAAAGTATGTGCAGGGACTCCCAGCATTTTTGTTTAAAAGTTTGCTGCAGCAGTATAAACAATTAAGGCAACACTCAGAATTTCCAATCCTGAAAACCTGTTGACTCAGATGTTCTGTTTTCAAGAAAACCATGAAAGACCTAAGCATCATTTTGGGGGTGCAGATAGCCTGCCCATTTCCTAGCTCCCCCCATAGGAGAATCGCTGATCTCCCACAAGCTTCTCCGGCAGTTTAGCTCTCTTACTAGAAACCTCTCTCCTTTAGGGAAGATCTTTCTTTCCCTAAAGCTCTTTCTTGATCTTGATGCAGCCCCAAAGGTCATGAGCATTAGGACTTTACCTTATGAAGCTTATTGAGGAAAAGAAATCAGGTTGGGGTTTTTAAGTTGCCACCCAATTTTCCTCAACCTTTCATGGTGGTAACATAGGAAAGAAAACATTTATGACATTTGGTTGTGAGTATGCGATGGATTCTAGCGGTCTGGAGGGCTGCTCCATGCACGTCCTGACACAAAGGGACCCTGTATTTATCTTCATATTCCAACTTCCATATGACGGCATCAATGGCAGCTCCCACTCCATGGGCTTCAGCCGCATCATGTGACCCAGCACACCTATGCCTGTGACCACTGTTAACAGCATGCTGTCGCTTGCGGTGTGCCCCTCTTCCTGACTACCTGTATGGCAAATCCTTCTCCTGGCATGCCGAGATCTGGCAGTGAAAGAATTTGACATTCATATTCTTTCTTACTTAGGGCCTTCACCTCAGTGCCAGTCTTCTACCAGTTAGATGAGATCTCATTATTTTTTACTTCTCTGTTAGGTGTTTAGTTTAAGAGAAAAAAATAAGCTACTTTTTAAAAAGTGACTGGAATGGACATGTTGAGTAAACTTTAAGATTGGTAATGGCAAACCCCTCTTGGTTGAGTTTATAGCTTGACAGTGGATTCTCACAATTGCTCATTTTTCTCATCTAAGGAGTTCACACCAACTTCAAGTTGATTTAATATAATTTCACAGATTTAATGATTACTATCTGGACAACCTACTCCTCAGGTGGAGTGTCATGGGACCTTTTCCCGCCCATTTTGCTAACTCAGGAAAAGATACTTATCATCTGAAGATTATAGCAAGTATATGAAAATGAATAGCAATGATCTATGTATTGTTGCTTTTGGAAAAATTCAACCTTAAGAACATTCCAACTATGTATGTGTCAAGATGTTCTTGGAGAATAGAAAAAGGCATGCATTTTTCTTTCCTTTATAAATAATTTTGTACAGCACAGAGTCCCGCCGTCACCATGAGCATGCCAGAGATGTACCTTTCAACCTCAAGGATTCCCAGTTTGGGGATACGTGTTTAAGTTTTGCTTTTTCTCTCCTTGCTTGTTGAATAAAGCCAAGGCATGGACCCAGATGCAGAGGGGCTGCAAAAGTTCCAGCGCCTGAAACTCTTTAACTAAGTTTGTCCCATTCTGCTTGTGTAGAAAGTGCCCCGTTTTTATAAAGCTGCCGTGAGCTGTTACAAACTAAACAGCAGGGAACTGCACTAACGCTGTCTGAAATTTATTCCAACAAATAAAAATAATTTTATTTTTTGGTATGTCACTCAAGCTTGTTCACCAACCACAGTTAGTATGTTCTTTGCGTGGCTGGCACAAAATCTTGAGTGTTTACCTTAAGACCCTGAAGAGCCGTTCCTCTCTTTAAGAGGAAGGTAGAAGAGATTGGCAAGGCCAAGCCAACTCCCTGCATTTGTCACTGAAGCTAAAATCAGTGGCCTTCTTGGCTGATATAGCTTATTTTGTCTTATTTTGACCCATGGCTTTCTGTGGTCAGTGCTTGTATAATAACAGTACACCTTTGAGTCTCCACACGCTGCCAATCCTAGGTGCACATTCTGGTGACTAGCTTAGCAATTGATAGCACTGGTAGAAAGGAGAGGAAGAGAAAGACAAAGGAAACACCAAGCAATGGGTAATGCTTACCTAGCCTAGGTGGCATGGAAAGAAACTTCTAACATTTGCCCCCTTGGAGAATACTATTTACAGGAGGTTTGAGTTACAAATCCCCCACTGCCCAAATAGGGGGTCCAAAAAGGCTTGCTGGGATGACTCTTCTCTCCCACTCAGAGAAGGCCATCTCAAAGTGAAGTGACTTCCACCGTCCCACCCCCATCTTCCAACTTGTCCCTGCATCCCCCCCATCTGAAAGATGTCTTTAGTTGAGGGGCTGCCCGCGGGCTTCTCCGGGGAACGGCAAGGGATCGGCCACAAGAGGGCGCATGCCAAAGACTTTTGCTTCTTGTCTGTAAATCTTCAGGGCAAGGCAGTTGTGCCTACACAAGCCCCTGTGTACGGCGCCCTAATCTTGGTGATTATCAGTTAGCTGCGGCCCCCTCCTATCCTCCAGGAAAAGTTAGGATTTTATGGCATGGGAGAAACATGGTTACCTGTAATACGTTCAGTGAGACAGAAAGGAAATGGAAATGCTAGCGATACGTGTGCACATTCCAGAACTCTATGGAAGGCAGACGAGAGATAAATTTCAAAAACAAACAAAGCGGAGCGTGGAGAAATGTGACCATGAATCATCAGCCATGCTGATTTGCTCACAAGTCTCTCCCTAACACGGTCGCCCGGATTGTACAAAAATCATCTTCCATCTCCCCTGATTCCCTCGCCTGCTTTGCTCCCCTTATCAACACTTTTCACCAGGGACAAATGGCAAGAGACTTCACACAGGGAGGAAAGAGGTTATTTCTTAATGCCTTGTGGGAACGTGGTGTTCAGCTTGGGAGGATGCGTTTGTTTCCGAGCTGAGGGCATGGAGAGAAATGGTGGGAAAAGATGTGAGAGGAGATTAAGAGTGGTTTGCGGCCTGCGGAGTGGAGGGAGGCCTTGGGGTGGGGGAGGGGGTGGCAGAGATGCCAGGGTGGAAAGTCAGATTTAACATTTAGAGAACTGGGATAATACCTTCCCTGGCACTTTTCTTGTAAATGCATACTGTCTGGGGCCCTCTGCTGCTAAAAAATTACTTGAGCATGATCTCTTAGCTCTAGTTGTGAATCTTCCATGTTGGACTGGTTGGTTACTAGGTCCAAAATCAAAAGTGTTGAAGGTCTCAGGAACTCTGGGAGAAGTCTCTGAAATCTTGTGGCTTGAACCTTTAAAACGTTTTCTGTATCTTTTAGAAACCTAAACCCCCTTTCTCCCTAAGTATTTAACTTTCTTTTTCATCACCGTTTAAAGGGAAGAGGCTTAGGATGACGAATGTTTGTGGCTGAGTATTTGCAGTTCAATAATGAGTCCTAAGGAGTGGTATAAGGCTAAAAACTTAATCAAGATAATTTACGGCCGAACCTATAGTTCTACTACAGCCAAGAGCCTCTACTGTAGGTCAAAGGGGGGAAGAACCTTTAAAATCTGACTCGCTGCTTTCTGCAGAAACCCCTGGAAGCAGTCCAAACCCAAAGTTAGTGCTTCAGAGAACACACGTGCCCCAACATGGACTATACGATATCTAGGCACAGTAAAACCTTGATGAAAAATGGAAAATTAAAGTCATAGATGCTTTTTACAGCCGCCCTTCTGCCCCCACCACACCCACCCACCAGGGTGAGTTTCAATACTTCTATGAACAACAAGGCTTTCCACATTCGCATTAGAGACATAATGATTGCCCATATGTAAAAGGAAACATGCTTTAAGTAGGACCCTGGTGAGGAAACCAAAACAAAACTGAAACGCTACATATGTGTGTTGCTTATTTCGTTGGTAAGGTTCACACCCCCCACACATCCGAGATGCTGGACTTTGGATAGGAGCATCTTAGGGTGGGGGAGGGGTGGACAAGGGGTTTGGCTGCTGAACCTTAGGCATGCCTTCATGCTTGAATTACTAAAAACGTTTTTCAAATTCTGAAAGCAAAGGAAATTGTGCTGCAAATAGCCTTTCAGACATCTTTCCTTCCATTTTACACACTTTCCTCTGTCCAATCCCTCCCACCCGGCACCATTTCAAAGGTATTCCCTGTAAGGTACAAAATGTATCCCTACTCATTTTTCTGCACCCTTTCCCCCTCTCTTTGGTCCACTAAGCTCATAGAGGTTTAAGTGATGAAATATTATCACCCACATGGGTTTGCGTGGGACTTTCTTAGTGAATTACTCAGGCAGAGCAGGCTGTGATACAGCCTTGCTCACAAGCCTCGGCAGGGAAAAAATAGCTCAGAGGATGAAAAGAATATTATCAGAGAGTAGGTAATGAAAGGTTAGCAAAGCCACCAGCTATATCTGGTTAGCTAGGTAATAGTGTAGGAACCCAGCTCGCACCTGTACCTTCTCAGGAAGCATTATGGGAAGGCTTCCACTTTAAGACTTTACAGCATGAGATATTTAAGTCAAACCTGAAACTGAATAGAAATTGATACTAAATATCTGAGCCTTAGGCAGCTTTCTTCCATTTTCAAATTGTTATGCGTAGAGATTTTGAAGATTGGGGCATCCTGAGCGTGTCACTACAGTAAGCAATCTCTCTCAGGTAATACAGAGATAAAGGGAGTATAATAAGTTGACTAGTTATTTATTATATTTTTAATGCCTAGGACATTGGAGAGCTGTAAATTATCTCTGAAACCTACAGCCCTGATAACCATCAATCCTATGTCAGCTTCCAGCCGTCTCATCTCCCCACCCCCTTCTGCAAGGAAAGCTGATGTAAAAGAAAGAAATATGCTTAATAAGTCAGAATACAATAGAACGTGTAAAATGTACCTGCGTATAAGGTAGACATTAGGAAGACTTGAATCTCTCTCTTCCCCCTGTTCTCCTGAGCATTATGGCAACAGCATTTTCATGAAATTGGATCTCAGTTTTATTTTTTTTCCCTGATAAAATATCATGCAGTATACAAATAGCAGTTCCAGAAATGGACACCAGGAGAAGGAGGCGACAGGCATGTCAATTAGTAGGGGAAAATCCAAATGTCAGAAATATGGGGGAGAGAGAAAGCAGGCAGGCAGAGGCTGCAAATACAGGGAGCAGAGCCTTTCAGTTCAGCTGATTAAAGCGATGCATAAATCAGCACCTGTGCCTCTGCACGATGTGCAGGCGATGCCTTTCAGTTCATTATCAGCCAAGACCAGCATGAAAGTCATTTTGTGATGACTCTCTGATCCTAATATAACAGCACCTGACAGACTGAGCCCCTCTGATGAGTACTCTCTTTGTACAATCCTCTCCCAGGAGCAGTAAATCATTTGCTTCCAAGTACAGCTGCCTGTGAAGAAGGGGCGGGGCTTGCTCATGCATTAAAAACCTACTCTGAGGAGATGAGGGCTGTCCTGCAGGCTGTGTGACTGGCAGCAAGCAGCCTCAGCCTCACCGGCCCTACACGGGCAATTTGCATGCGGCTGTCACTTGTTCCAGGTGATCGCTTAACCCTCCCCCACCCCAACATCTGCAGACATCTCTGGACTTTACTCCTGGAACGTGGGCAGCGTGCAGGTCAGCACTGCTATCCAGCTGCCTTCACACTCGACCCCTCCTGTCAAGCGCGGATGGGAGAAGAGCCAAGGCTGTGGGATGAGGTACCTGAAACCCAGCAAGCCTCCCCATCCCGGCACTAGGCAGACCTCCAGTTTCACACCCTTTCCTAGAAAAACAAAACACAGCCTTATGCACTCTGGCTTCTCTAATTTAGCAGCTACTATTTCTCTGTCTACAGAGTAAGACCCTGCACAGTTTAGGGTTTCAGAAGCTGTCCAGAATAGAGGCAGAAGGGGAAGCAGTGGGTAGCTTGTTAACATTCTCCACGGGGCAGGTGCATGTGCCCAGGCCTGAAGTACCTGTGCGCTCTCCAGGCCAGTTAGCAGAGGCTTTGGAGGTCCTCATTAGCCTTTGGCTCGGACCTTACCAACTCAAAGTCACATATCAATGGGGAGGGAGGTTCAGGAAGAGTTTGTTTTTGCATGTCCCTGAACCCCCAAACCCCATGTTGGTTTGCAACTGAAAATCTGCAGATTTCCCTTTTAGATTTAAATGATTAAACTCTGCTTCCTGGAATCTTTTCTTTCACTTTCTTAACAACAAACAACAAAAACCCTCACCAGTTCTCAGCAAAAGGGAATATAGAATTCACATTTTGTAAAAAAAAAAAAAAAAAAAAAAGTCATCCTGCTTCCTAAAATAAGACAGCTTCCCCTTCTAACTGCTCCCTGCTCTGGTGCTCTATGTAATCATAAAACCAGCTTTATTATTCATTTCATCTCCTGCCAGAGACATGAGGTTGGAGTCAAAGGAACTCCCCTTACCACCACCAACATCATCATCATGGCCAGCATCCTAGCAAATCTACCGAAAGATGCCAGAGAACCTTTCCTATCCATCTGCAGCCCTGCGTGGCCCTGGCCTCAGTGAATTTACCACTATCATAATCACAGTGTGCAGAGTGTGTTAAATTAAGAACAGAATCTACAGTACGCAATGCACAGAAAAGCCTGCCTTCTGCCGCAGAGAACTTGAAACCGTGCCTAAAATTTATAGTACCGTAAACATCTCAGGGCCTCGAGTGATAAGTATGGCTGGATTTCCGTTAGCTATAGAAATCCAGGCAGGGAGATCCTCCTAGGGAGTTGCGAGTTCTAAGATGAACTTCTTGAAGATTGGTCCCAGATTTGTACATGGGTTTCATGTACAGTGCACAGTTTTCAGTAGGCACAGGGATATGTAAGAGAAGACATGTTTCTGTGAACTACCAAGTGGTAACAATGGGAGGGAGGGGAAATATTTGATATGATAAAGAATTCTAGTCTGGATATCACTTTTTACAGTAAATGTTGCTGCCTGCATAAACATACAGGTAATAGATGACTTTCTCATGTTAGAGTTAGGCTAGAAGTGAGTGGCTGCTGGACACAGCTACTCTGATAATGCAAGCATTTCCTCTCTCTTAGCAGTTGTTATTTGAAATATGTTTTCAGTGTTCATTAAGCTGCATATTAAGGGACAGAGGCAAAGAATAGGGGATTCAGGGGGACGCTGCTGCTGCTCTCTTAATTTAATAGACCCCAGTGCTAATGTTGCCCCTATTTGTTAGTAAGTAATCAAGTAATTACCTACTTTCTGCTGAGCACTAGACTGACAATGGTGACCTCAGACCTCAGGCACCCTAAGTAGGACTGGCCAGAGGGTGGCAGGGGGGAAGTGTGAGGGAAGACTTCTAAGGGGGGTGTCCTTCAATCTGAAAACTGAACCGTTCTAACAGTCAGCAACTAAGGGTGCCCTGCTCGGGGTGGGGCAGGAATATTCTAGGCAGTAGGAACAGCACGTTTCACTGCCTGTAGGAGAGAGAGAGAGTGGGATCTTAAGACCTTAAGGCAGTGGTTCTCAACCTTCCTAATGCCCTTTAGTACAGTTCCTCATATGGTGCTGACCCTCAACCATAAAATTATTTTCATTGCTACTTCATAACTATAATTTTGCTACTGTTATGAATCATAATGTAAACATCTGATATGCAGGATGTATTGAGGTAACCCCTGTGAAAGGGTCGTTCGACCCGCAAAGGGGTCGTGACCAACAGGTTGAGAACCGCTGCCTTAAGGAAACATGGTATAGCTGGACAAGAGAACAAGAGGACAGGGTGAGAGCTGGTGTGGGTGGAGGGACCATCATATGCAGAACCCAAAGGCCTGGGGGCTTTCTGTTGGAGATTGAGAGTAACAGGAAGTCAGTGAAGGACTTCCAAGAAGAAGGAGCATGGTCAGCTCTACCTTTGGGAGTGATACCTTTAGCTGCTTAGTGGAGAAATAGTTGGAAAGGGGCCTCAGTGTCACAGAGGCAAAGTAACGAAGTCTGCTGCAGTGGCCCAAGGAAGAGATGATGAGGGAGAAGGTGGCTGTGACAAGGGAGTGAGAGTCTGGCTCAGGGAGTCTCACCCACACGGCGGGACAGGGCTGGGGGCTGCCTTTCTGGATGAGAAGAATATCTCCATAGCTTTCCAGAGTTTATAGTGTGTTTTCATTTATCTTAGCCCATTTGACACTTCCAAACCTGTGGGCTAATAGATCAAATGTCATTATTCCATTCCCATGTCATAAAAGATAAAACTGAGATCAAGCAATTAGTTAATAGACCTAGATCCCTACAGGCCCTCTTGTTGGTGTGCAGGGGTCTGAAAACTTTTTTTCTATACATGGAAGAGAGTAAATATTTAAGGTCAGACAGTCTCTGTTGCAGCTACTTACTGTTCTTACTTTGCGGGACATACGGAAGCAGAGGTGGCGGGTGGATTGTCACTTACTGACCCTTGTTGGAGATGGTCTGTCTCAGAACGCTTAGGCTTGGCTGACATTTGGGAGTAGATGCAAGCGTCAGAATTAACAAGGGTCCCTGTTTTCTCTTGTGCTGTGTTTCGTCTTCAGGCACAGCCAGGAAGACTCTGCACTTTGAGATTTCCAAGGAAGGCAGTGACTTGTCGGTGGTGGAGCGGGCAGAAGTCTGGCTCTTCCTGAAAGTACCCAAGGCCAACAGGACCAGGACCAAAGTCACCATCCGCCTCTTCCAGCAGCAGAAGCACCCGCAGGGCAGCTTGGATGCGGGGGAGGAGGCCGAGGAAGTGGGCTTAAAGGGGGAGAGGAGTGAACTGTTGCTATCTGAAAAGGTGGTGGACGCTCGGAAGAGCACCTGGCACGTCTTCCCTGTCTCCAGCAGCATCCAGAGGTTGCTGGACCAGGGCAAGAGCTCTCTGGACGTGCGGATTGCCTGTGAGCAGTGCCAGGAGAGCGGCGCCAGCCTGGTGCTCTTGGGGAAGAAGAAGAAGAAAGAGGAGGAGGGGGAAGGGAAGAAGAAGGACGGAGGTGACGGAGGGGCGGGAGCAGACGAGGAGAAAGAGCAGTCCCACAGACCTTTCCTCATGCTGCAGGCCCGGCAATCCGAAGACCACCCCCATCGCAGGCGGCGGCGGGGCTTGGAGTGTGACGGCAAAGTCAACATCTGCTGTAAGAAACAGTTCTTTGTCAGTTTCAAGGACATCGGCTGGAATGATTGGATCATCGCTCCCTCTGGCTATCACGCCAACTACTGCGAGGGTGAGTGCCCGAGCCACATAGCAGGCACGTCTGGGTCCTCGCTGTCCTTCCACTCGACGGTCATCAACCACTACCGCATGCGGGGTCACAGCCCCTTTGCCAACCTCAAATCGTGCTGTGTGCCCACCAAGCTGAGACCCATGTCCATGTTGTACTATGATGATGGTCAAAACATCATCAAAAAGGACATCCAGAACATGATTGTGGAGGAGTGCGGGTGCTCATAGAGCCGCCCAGCCCAGGGGGAAGGGAGCGAGAGTTGCCAGAGAAGACAGTGGCAAAATGAAGAAATTTTTAAGGTTTCTGAGTTAACCAACCAGAAAAATAGAAATTAAAAAACAAAAAAAACAAAACAAAAACAAAACTAAAAACAAAACCTGATGAAACAGATGAAGGAAGATGTGGAAAAAAAAAAATCCTTAGCCAGGGCTCAGACATGAAGCAGGGAAGGCGGCAGGGACTGGGGGCGGGGGAAGGGAGAATGTGTACCCTTCATTTCTTCCAAAATCAAACTGAGGACATCAGTTGTTTAAATGGGGTCTCATCCCCTCCCACCTTGTGGTTCTCTTGTGAGCCTTGAATCAACTTGTGTAGTCTGAAGAGCGAGGACTGGCCCGATCCAAATAGCATCTAGAAAGCCATGAGTTTGCAAGGGTCCATCACAAGCACTTCTCCACCCAGTTACCCAGGTCATAGGTGTGTCTGCTTGACACTGTCTGTGTATATCAGCACACACACACACAGGCATTTCCACATACCATACACACACGACTGGTAAAAGAACAATAGTGTGCAGGTGGTCACACTTTCTTTTTCTGCACCACTTTCGCAACAAGACAGCAAAACAAACAAACAAAAAGAACATAAAAAAAATTGAGAACAAGAATGGGAAGAGTGAAAGATCAAGGAAAAAAGAATGCCAAGTTACATTTCGTTAAGGTGCTTATGATCTTAGAACTATGCAACCTAATAGGTTTGAAACTGTTTACCTGAGAGAGAACAAAAAGAGAGACTTTTTTGTATTGGAAGTAATCTGATTAATTTTTATTTTCTTCAAGGAGAGATACTTGAAAGGAATATGTTTGTCCATCTGTTGGATCCAAACATTTCTATATTTTGTAAATGTTGTTGTTGTTTTTTTTTTTTTTATCGTTACTATTTGCACTACAATGGTGTTTGACCTGTCTAATCCTTATTTAACAAGTATTTTCTTTGGGTGGGGGTGGGGGTGGGGTTTAAGAGCTGCACTTAATGTGAGCTATAAAAGAACTGCTACAGCACACAAAATAGCTATTTTTATTATTATAATTATAATTATTATTATTATTTTGTACCTTAAAAAATAGACACATACACCAAAGACATTTGTGTGAGCCTTTAAACAGTCTGTCTGTGGTTGGTATCATTCACCATCATTGAGTCAGGGGTTGGGATTAAGGCTGAGTAGGGTGGATTGTGTTCAGGCTTAGAAGACCTGAGAAGTTTGGGTTTTGACTCCTTTTACATCCATGAAACAGGACATTTCATACTGGATGTACAGTAGTTGTACACTGTTAGATATCAAGTTCAATCAGATTCATGAAACTACATGCTTGTATGTGTATATATACATTGCTAGTGCACATGCATATCTGTGTGTATATATACATGGATTGTACCATGTCCATACACGTTTTAAGCACTTCAGCCTGTCATTTTTTAATGTTCTTAAAGCGATGAATGTTTGTGTGCAAAACACAGTATTTTTAAGAAGGATAGGCTATAGTTTTTGCTTTTCCTCTGAACTTGGTGGGCACATTTCAAAAATCTGGATGGGAAAAAGCCTGGAAATTCCAGTGAATATTTTGCAAGGCCCTCTCTAAACATACAGGGATCAGATTCCCTCCTCTTTCTTACCCCCCTCCCCTTCTGAAAGTTATCCCCTGTGGGGAAAACAGGATGTTAATCAAAACTCTGGTTAACTCTGTTTTTTTTTTTTTTCACCATATATTTATTATCTATTGGAATCAATCTTAAATCAGAAACTTTTTTGGAAAAAAATATCTTTAGGTCAGAATAAAAGAGGTGAGTGTATTTTTTTTTTTTTTTAATTAAAGCCTGGTTGTGAGAAATATTACTTGTACCCACTGGGTTTGATAATGTAGTCACTAGTTAAAGGATATATAATTAGAGGAAAGGTGTGAAGGGAGTGAGAGTAGGAAGGGAACAGTTAAATGGAGGCAGGGATGAGGGCGGTAGCAAAAATCTCTAATATTTTAACTGACAGCCAAAATTCTTGATGTATGAGTTGGTATGTATTGATTTAGGTGCATAAAGGGAAAAAGGAAAAAAAAATCCAACTTTGTTTATATAGAAGTACATGCTTGTAGCTAAATTTCTATTTAATTTATTCTGTTATTTAGCTTGCGTAGAATAGCTAATAAGTTATTCATTTATGTGTTTTTAAAAATACAGAGCCTTATTTTCGCTGACTTGTTTGAAGTTTGAAAAAACAGTTGGAAATTGAAAAAAAATTAACAATTAGGAAAAATCACATTCGTCAGTATTTTGCAAACTATTGAAGCTGATAGCTCTTCAATTCATAGACTTTTAAGAAATTGGTTATAAGAAAACAAAGTATCAGTGAGAAACCGAACATTACAAAAGGTGGTTTAGCTCTTCTTAAAAAATGTGTTAAGTCAGTAGACTATAATGCAAGGTTGTGTGTAGGCAAATTCCTTTCATGCTGTTACTGGGCAAATGCACTTACTATGTTCTGGAGGCCTGCCCTTTTTTATGCAGGAAATACAACACATACTGCATGAGAAGCTTCAGAGTGGATTCTCAGGAAGGCCCATTGAACCTTGGATAGCTTGCATGTGGAGAAGGTGGACGTGGAGAGGAAAGTTGTAGGGGAAAGTAGATGGCCATATTCAACTTCACAAATTTTCACGGAAAACTTTGAAGGCCTTTTGAACTGCATCTTCTTTGGTACTGGAACTAATACTGGAATAATCTATAGAAATTGAGGAGATGAGTCTTAGTTCACTGTGCAATAGCAGAACTGCTCAAGGCCATGGAAGAAGAATTTGTAAAAACCGATGATGCCCATGTGTAGTCCCATTCATCTTCAATAAATCTATCATCTTTTTAAGTTCTTTAAGTAAGTTCTAGGCAGTTGGGGGGTAGTATGGGGTTTGCTTAGGGGCCACAGTAATTAGAAGCGGCAAAATGAAATCCCACATGGCAATATTTTTAAGTGGACATTAGGTAATTGGGTTATCCTATACCTACAAACTGTAATTTCATTTCATTACATTTATATGGCCTTGAAATAGAATTATAAATTGCTACCATCTTTAGTAATATTGAAAGATATTCTTTTACCACCTTTAATAATCTTGGAAAATATCACAGTGGCCCTGTGAACGGCCACTCTCTGACACAGCAGCACAAGACCGTGTTGGTTTCTTCATAGTTTGATTTTTTTCTGAAATGGAGGTGTCTCTCTCTGATCTTATCATCTCTCTACTCTTTCCCTAAGGCTAATTCCTAGGCTGTTAAAAATCTGTCCACACCAATTTTAGAAGCTCTCTGAAAAGCATTTGTCTTCAAATATCCTTTAAGAGTAATAAACACTTTATAGTCCAAATAGGCATTTTCTTCTTTTTTTTTTTTTTTCCAAAAAAGTAAGTGAATTCCAGCACACTGAGATGGGATTTTCTTGTCTCGGAAGACCAGCCAACTTCATATTTATTTAAGATTGATTCCACACTCCATTTTCCAGGAGAGTCCCTGCATTCTCCTCAAAGGTAGAGCAAGTACATTTTTTTCACCTTTGTGGGATTGGACTTCCTAAGAGATGACTCTAAAAAACAGAGAACGCAGATGCCTCGGTTGTATTAAGCATAGATTCAAATTATCATGTTCATTTTAAAAAATGATTTCCTGTGGGCCTTTTGGCAACTTCCCTTTTCAATGTAGAGAAAAACTTAGTCACCCTGAAAACCTACAAAATAAATGAAACTTGTAGATGTGGGCAGAAGGTTTGGGGGTGGACATTGTGTGTGTTTAAATTAAACCCTGTATCACTGAGAAGCTGTTCTATGGGTCAGAGAAAATGAATGCTTAGAAGCTGTTCACATCTTCAAGAGCAGAAGCAAACCACATGTCTCAGCTATATTATTATTTATTTTTTATGCATAAAGTGAATCATTTCTTCTGTATTAATTTCCAATGGGTTTTACCCTCTATTTAAATGCTTTGAAAAACAGTGCATTGACAATGGGTTGATATTTTTCTTTAAAAGAAAAATATAATTATGAAAGCCAAGATAATCTGAAGCCTGTTTTGTTTTAAAACTTTTTATGTTCTGTGGTTGATGTTGTCTGTTGTTTGTTTTAATTTTTATTTTTATTTTTTTTTTTTTGCATACTATATGCAGTTCTTTAACCAATGTCTGTTTGGCTAATGTAATTAAAGTTGTTAATTTATATGAGTGCATTTCAACTATGTCAATGGTTTCTTAATATTTATTGTGTAGAAGTACTGGTAATTTTTTTTATTTACAATATGTTTAAAGAGATAACAGTTTGATATGTTTTCATGTGTTTATAGCAGAAGTTATTTATTTCTATGGCATTCCAGCGGATATTTTGGTGTTTGCGAGGCATGCAGTCAATATTTTGTACAGTTAGTGGACAGTATTCAGCAACGCCTGATAGCTTCTTTGGCCTTATGTTAAATAAAAAGATCTGATTGGGATGTATTTTTTATTTTTATTTTTATTTTATTTCATGTCTTACTTATTGATTTTCTAAGATCAATTTGCACACATATTGCCACATCCTTTGCTGGGTGATAATTTTGTTTCTACTGTAATTATCCAGAAGAGGATAAGAAGCAGACTGAATGTGGGAGAGAGAACAAAAGCTGGAGTGAGAGAGTGAAGGAGAAAAAGAATGGCTACCATGATGGCCAAGGCTGGGAATGGGCTGCAGACGCTTAGACCAGCAATATTTCTATTTTATTCATTTTGTTGATTTCCCATTTCTCCAAATGTAGTGGCAAGTACTTATAAGAAATAAAGAGATATTCCTTCCTTACTTCCCTCCTTCTTTCTTCTTTCTCTTCTTTTTTCCTCCTTTCCTTTCTGACTACACAACTGGAAATGCATGGAGTAGCTAAAGCTAGAGAATCATATACTTGGGGGCGAATGTGCTTAATCCCATCACTAGGACCACCAGAACCAATCTGAATCACAGAATTAATTGATGATTCCATTTCTTCATCCATGGTTTTTCTCTAGTACTTGTGGCCATCCCAGAGGTTATATGGAGAAAGTAACTTCTTTGAATGCCCATGTGGGCCAAGACTGTCCCCACGCATCACCTCATGCAGTATTCACTTATCATTGTTTTGACTATCCTGTGTAGTAGGTGTTATCTCTGCTTTTACAGGTGAATCTGAGACATAGTTAAGTAATATTAATTGAAATTAAAATTCCAACCCAGGCCCATATTCCTGTCCAAAGTTAACTTTCTTTATTTTGTTCTATGATTCCAATTTTGTGTTACTTTCCTTATATAGTGTGGCCATAACGTTCTGTACAATTTAAAATAGATAACTACCTCAACAATAAATTAAAAATATATGAATAAATAAAAATAAATGAATAAACTCAAAAAAATAGATAACTACATTTCCCTTTCTACATGAAATGGAATTAGACGTTAAATGAAAACACATTCTCTCTCTCTCTTACACTTGTGTACCTAGACAGCTATTTTAAATTGCACATGAACTTTAAGGCCACCCTGTATAGTGAGGAAAAAAATGGGGTAGCAGTGGCCTGAGTGTTGAAGCCACTTCTGACTTTTTAACACAGATGCATTATACTCATCAGATAATTCACTTACACTTGTCTCTAAGTGAAATGCCAAGTTCATATAAATTAATCCCAAACCATTTTTATTTCAGTAGGAAATTCAATTTTTTTTTAAATTAGGAAATGGAAATTATTAGTCTTGCTTTATATTTACTACTTTATTTTTCTAGTCTTGTATTTTGCTGGGAGAAACTTTTTGTCCCACGTACTTCAGTTTCTGGGCCCGGGGGTGTTTGTGAGTGTGAGAGTTTGTGTGTGTGTGCACACACATGTGGACATGAATGAGCACTTGCATTTGCTTTTATTTCCTGCCAAGTTTAGCAATGAATGCATATTAGACATTAAGTAAACACCCCACTGAATTATAAATGAATGATATTACTATAAAATTTATAGGAATATTATCATAGTCAAGGCAAAAATAATTGGAAATAAACAAAGTTGGAGTCAAGTGTAGAAAAATATATTGACTATGCATATAAATAATATCTACACATAGATATGTACACATAATATATATAAAATGTATAAATATGGTATGGATAGGACGTATACACATGCATACCAGTTAAGAGAAAGAGAACGTGTTTTCATTTAACATCTAAATCCATTTCATGTAGAAATAGGAAACAGTTGTTTGCGGAGGTGTTCAGACTGACACAAGGAAATAGAGCAGTCTAATAATTCCTTTTTGCATCAAATCAAGTGCAAGCTTCTTTAAAAGAATTCTGGTATTTCTACACTGATCCAATTTAGAATCCACCCTTTGGGCCATGAAAAGCCAGGATTCATTAGAATTCTCCATTACACTGTTTTAGGCTTTCTTTAATTGTCGTGTAATTAGTGCCCACGGTAATAAAAACAGGGAAGACAAATAGTTTATCCACAAGCAGAGAAGCATAGAGCCATGTCAGGCTCCTTAGAAATGGCCACTTGCCCCAACTGACAATATCCGATTTCAAGAAGAGCCTAGGAGTTCCGTCATGACTTCAAATTCACTCAGTGGACATCAGAGTTTTCACTCGATGAAAACTTGGCAGTTAAAATCTGAAGGTGGTTTTGGGGAAATATGAGGTCAACCGATTCAATGAAATTAACGAAGATTTTTTTTTCAGCTGATTTTTCTTATGGAAGTCAGAGGAAGTGCTGAGGGAAGGCCCCATCGTTGTCATAACAGAACATTGAAAAGCCACCCAGGGCCAGAGTTGATTGGCTGCTGCAGTTTTTACAGTCTTGGTGGTGGCAATGCCTGCATCCCTGTTGTACGGGGGACACAATGTTCTAACACAAATACTGTAATGTGGCAACAAAAGATCTCATGGAGTCAGCCTCTTATTAATGAAGTTGTCCAGTACCACAGCCTGTGCTGTGTGAAAAGTCTGGTACTCACAGGGGATAAAGGCAGTCATTAAAAGGAAACTCTTGTATTGTGAAAGAGAGAGAGAAAGAAAAGGGGGAATAAAAAAAAAAAAAAAAAAGACAAACATTGTTAATTTATGCCAGAAAGAGGCAAGCCTAAGGCAGGAGGAGGACAGAGCCTTGTGCTTCAAAGTGCTTATTGTGCTAGAGCTTCCAAACTCTTTGAAGGCCCTCATCAAACCCTTCCAAATGGAACCGCGGAGGCTTCTCAGCCATTGATCTCAGCAACAAATGTTTGTGTTTCATGGCTAGTATATTTATCCTTCAAAGACCCTAAGTAAAGTCGTCATTCAATAGGATAATTTTTAAAGATAAAACTAATTTTCCATCTGAGTAATCATATCCTAAACATGATAAAATTGCAGGCTAGATGAAATGGCTTGGATGATCTGAATAATGTACATTTAGTGGCTATTGTTATGCCAAGTATCATGGGGTTCATAATTCTGAAATAAACGAACTCCTTTATGTTCTCAAAATAGTGAATTTGAACCAGTCTCTATCAGATCGTGGATTAGTCCACACTGCTGTGGAGTCACTAATAGCCTCAGATTGAAAACATGGAACAAACAAATAGAGCCCCCTTCCCGTGGACTTTGGATAATAGTACATGAATTACATTTAAAAATATCTAGCTAATTTAGTTGATTTAATCATTCATTTGGCCACTGTATGAAAACAATCTAGATAGAGGACTCGGAGTGATCTCCAGGCTAAACACTGTCAAGTTTTACAGATAGGATGACTCTGAGATTCCCTTAAAGAGGACGGGACAGCAAATGTTACCTGGCTAAACCGACATCCCCAGCAAGCCGAGTGTCACAGGGACAGAGAAACAAGACAAGCATTGCCTTCTTTTTCCTGAGATGGCCAGTTCTGACCCCAGCACCGTACCATTCCAGCTTACTCCTGCAGCCAGGCATCACAGGTGGGTAAGAGGGAATAAGAGAAGTAGCTTTTATCTCTGGGCTTTAAACATTTCACAAAACAGGGAGTGTTTAACCCACTGTGGGCAAGTACACAACTGTGATTCTGACTAGATCCATCCATCACTTAGAAGACTGATTTTCAAAATAGGCCCCAAATTGGTAGTTCATAGAGAGCACCCTGGAAGTAAATTTTATGGAAAAGAAATTATTGTCATAAATGTTGTTCAGATTATCAAAAATGTAGATGAAACCTAGAGGTGATAAGGGAAAGATCAGGAGCTGCCCTCTAGCCTCAGCTGTGACTCATCTGAGGAAGGCATGGGCTGACCTCTAGGAATCTGATGTTTCCCTGAAGGAGGAGTAGGTACTGGGGGAAGTCAAGGCAAGTGGTATATGTCCACTTGCCTTGGAGAAGGGAGGGAGAATCCTTTTACGCAGAGAACCTTTGAGAGGGGCACGCCTTGGTTCCAGGAAGCAGACTGTGATGCTGTATGGGAGAGGGGAATAGTTTCACGGATTTTGCACTGAAAACAGCGTTGTAGATGCTGCCTGGAAAATGGGCTGGCAGCGTTGGGAGCCGTGGGGAAGCTTGATATCACAAGGTGGCCTCTGGATGTAGCAGCAGTGTGGTGGGTCCCCGTGACAGTAGGGCTCATGTGAGACAGCTGAGGGTCCCCAGACAGGACTGGATAAAACTGAGGGATGGAGACTGGAGTTGCCTAAGGTCCATCTTTGAGAAGGTAAAACAAGAGCTCGTGAACTTGGGTCTTTTTCATTTAGTGTAACTGGCCTGCTTTTACAGATTTGTAAGAGTGCAGGGAACTCAACTTAAATTGGAATTGTGTACAGTAACACAGAAACGTGTGGTAGGTCCTCAGAGGATGTTAGCTGAATCCCACTTCAAACAAATCACAAATGTCTTACTCTCAGAGATCTTTAAGAGCAACCTATTTTTTGATAGTTTGAAATAGATTTTGTGTAAGAAGTAAGGCTCAAGAAAGAATATCTATGTATTATTAGTAATAGAAGGAAAGACTTGGAAAAAGTTAGGAGCCAGACTTGGAAACAGTGCTTTCTGAGCAAGGGTAGCTGAGAGGACCTACCGACAATGTGTGTGCGTGTATCACATGGTTAATTAAAAACCTCCTGTAATTATGTTATGTGCTGGGCACCTTCTGAGTGCTTTAAATCTTAGAAGAACTCCATGAGGTAGAGCTCCTGCCCCAACTTTGTCAAAGACGGACCTTAGCGACCATTTCATAGATAAGAAAACTGTGGCAAAGAGTAGTTAAATACTTTGTTCAAGGTCAATCACTCAGGATGCAGGGTGCTGGGGTTCAAACCTGGAGAGATTCGGCTTCAGCCATTGCACCGGCAGCCATGAGTTCTGCTGCAGCTGCTGTTACCCCGTGTTTCTGCTGATAATACAAACTGTCTTCTCCCTCTACACAGAGTTTTGAGTATTTATAGCCGATATAACCAACTACTTATTCAGCTGATAGTCTATAGACAGGAGGTGCTAACAAGGAAAGA